AAAATTATGTATTTTTTCTCAAGATCTCAAAATTATGTATTTTTTCTCAAAATTATGTATTTTTTCTATAAATTATGTATTTTTTCTANCAGATTAGCTCCACATCAGAAATGATCATGCTTGTCATATGTCTCTCTCCATAGAGGCTGAATCATCATGTTAATCACATAGCTATCATATGCCTCAAACAGTCCTGATGCTCTTCAAGGTAATCACACATCCTGTCATGTTCACAGCTACAGTTGGGATACCTTTGTTATCATGTTACTCTCAGATTGGAAGAGGACATTCAGTATTTTCCCCACAGTAACACATACAGATGCTAACAAGTCAGGGAGCCAAATAATTAGACGTGTCATCCTTACTACTTTTATATTGTTTTATTTATTTTATAGGTCTTAAAGGTCACCTATTATGCAAAATCCACGTGTTCATGTCTCTTCTACATCAACATGTGTCCCCTCTGTGTAAAGAGACTCTGAAAGTTTCAGGAAAAAGATTCTCTCTCTTTTTGTCCTGATCCATTTCTATAAAAACCTGTCTGTCCACTTTATGATGTCATAACGATGTGTTGTCTTGTGTAACCATTAGCCAATCACCAACCAAGGTAACACCCCCCACCCCCCCCACCTTATCACCTGAATCTCCTCCTAGCACCATTGTGTTATTTCTCACCAAATATCTCTGAGGGGCGTGGGGAGTGCCTTGCTGAAGGGCACCACGGCAGGTGTTGTATGGAAAGTGCTATATAAATAAAGCTTTATTATTATCATCCTTGACTTGTGTTGGTCTCTTGATGTCAGTCACAGGGATGGAGACACTGATTCAGTGAACACCATGGTGGTTCACGAGGATGAAGGGGAGCAGGCTGGAGGCTACGGGGACCAGACCATGCTGGTGCAGAGGGTGAGTCATCGAGGACCTGATGGTGCTTTAAATGCATTGTGACTTGTTTGTCAACACACTATTTGTCAAAGAGTATCACAAAGCTCCAAGGCACAGGCACTGGGTCTGTTGTTGTGTTTTTGTATACACATTGACATTGTCCGTGCACCCTTGATAAGCTGATAAAACACAACATGCAGAAAACCCTCAGCAATGTTTTACAGAAAAGCACTTTTTGCTATTTCACTGCTTTGCCCCAACGTTCAAAAAGCACTTGATTATAAACTGAATTTAGAAGGGGAAGAGAGTCGACTACTACTACTATTACTGAACTAAGGGATAATCAACATGATATATAATATAATAAGTAACATATCGGTTCATGGATGCTTACAGGATCATCCTAAAGTAGACAATAAACACCTTTTCTAGTAACTGTATGAATAATGTTACATTTGTTTTTTTATTTTGGGTTATGTCATCCTGTGTTACGTGGGCATAAATCGTTTGAGATTGTTGGCGAGACAGAGATGTGATTCAGTGACAGACCGTGGCTCATGCCGAGTTGAATGTGTGAAATGTCACCTTCACTGAAGAGAAATTGTTTTGCTTGTTAATGCATTTTATTATGCAATTAGCGTCAAATATTTGTGCCAAGCTACAGTGACCTCACTGAGTGTCAGGGAAAGATATTGAGCTATTAATTAGCCTGGTATTATAAATAAAACACAAATTATCCGGATATTTTTTGATTAATTTCCCACATACTGTGAATGTTGTTTATATTTTTAGAGCGAGTCCTCTCACGCGTTCTAATGACGGCACAGACATTCAATCAATCAAAGTTTATTTATATAGTCCAATATCAAAAACTTTACATTTGTCTCAAGGGACTTCAGAGTTTGTACAGAATATGAATATGAAACCCCGTGTGCTTGGAAACCTCACACTGGACATGGAAAAACTCCCAAAGAAACCCCACAGTTACATTACATGTCACTTGTTAGGCGTTTTTATCCAAAGCAACTTACACACTCAATACTGTGGGCAATCCCCACAGGAGCAATTTGGGGTGAAGTGTCTCAGGGACACAACGACATGCTGACTGCAGTGGGGTTTGAACCTGTGACCCCCTGATCCGAACACCAACGCACAACCCACTGCGCCACACACCTCCAATGCGTTAAGGGGGGAACATACATTTAAAAACAGTCAGTCAGGGTTTTTGTTAATCTACCGTAGGTAAAATACTGAGTAGGGATAAGTACCTCATATAACCCCATTTCACCACATCCAAACTATTTGATATGTTTGAAAGCGTAGAGCGTTTTAAAAGTGTTTTAGATTCTCGGTACTATCAAAGTGTATTTTTTGTTTCCCTTTTTCCTTGACGTGGCACTTAATCATTCCAACTATTTTATGGTCAAACCAAAAATGGCATTTCATTGGCTGCTTGTAAATTTAAAAAAAACATTTATAACATACAAAGAGACACAATAAATAACATGACGTTTCTAAAGCAAGTTTGGTCACGACTTCACTTCTTGTGTTTACTTTGGTCTGCTAACCACAGGGGTCATATTCTGGTTATTGGAGCAGCAGATTAGCCTAGATTCAAGTCTCACAGTAACAATATAATAATGTGTGTGTGTGTGTGGGTTTTTTTTCACCTGAAAGACCCCAGAGAAGCGGAGTCATAACGGATACACTAACTTGCCAGATGTGGTGCAGCCCTCCCACTCGCCCACTGATTCTGCCTCTCACTCCTCCCCTGGGAAGGACTCTGTTTATGATGTAAGTGTTTCTGAGGCTAAATATATCAAACCTAAATTCCTTGTTTATTGGTATGAGATCCCTCTCTGCAGTATTCCTTTGCAATCTTCTATCCATCTCCCTTTGTTCGTTTATTTACTAGTACTTGGTCTACTTCAGTGTTTTTTAACTTACCCTTTATATGTTTATGTTGTGTACTCTATTGATATATATCTTTCTATCTTTAAAATGTATATATTCACTTTTTTCTAATGTTTTATTCATGTACAATGTATTTTTCCATGCTACCGTTACAAAATAAAATCCCAATTTGCTGAACAGAATAAGAAAAAACATAACGGTGAAATGAAAATAAGTCACTAGTTACAAAAACACCACAGAAAGAGTTTTATCACAATTCAATGAACCATGAACAACGATACGAGGCAACTTCAACTCTCATCAAACACATGGCCGTTAAAACTGCTGTTTCAATGCCAAGGAAAATATGCGTTTTCACATTTGATCTGACATTCTCCTTGATATGAATGTTGATGTAACTTCCTGCTCCGACAGTATCAGTCCAGAGGTTTGGTGAAAGCATCTGGAAAGTCCTCCTTCACCACCTTTGTGGATCTGGGCATGTACCAGAGTCCAGGGGGTCCCGGGGACAACATGTCTCTCACTGGTGAGTCAGAAGCTGTTCACACTCCAATCTTCTCGGACTTTCTTTAACATTGAACAAGGAGGGGACAGCTGATTGCAAAATAATCCACTCCCTTAAAGGTGGGGTAGGTAAGAATGGAGAAACCAGCTCGAGTGCGCTAGAATTTGAAAATACACAACCGGAAAAAATCTGCCACTTCCTTACAGAGCCCCTCCTCCAACACACACGAACACGCACATGACCAATGAGGGCACGAGATAAGTTTGTGCACAGATGGAAGGCTGACAGGCAGGTAGGCCATCCAGTTATTTTAGCCGGGCCGGCTCAGATGATTGGTCGTACTTTTTACAGCACCACGGCTTCCACAGATGACATTTGTTATGGATTTTTTGTCAAAGCACTTCAGATATTCATTGCTATCGGGATGTTAAGAGCATTCCATGGAATATAACAAAAAGTGTATCTCGAGCCGGTTTCTCAAACTTACCTACCTAACCTTTAAAGGTAGGGGACCTCATTGGTCATGTGCGCGTGCGTGTGTGTTGGAGGAGGGACTCTGTAAGGA